TGGTTAAAATATAAGTCTAATCGGATTGGGTCAAATAATAAAAAATATCGCCTTGCTCAGTCCATAGCCCAAAACATTAAAAAAATATTTTGTCTTTCTTCAATTTCTTTAGTTTAGACTTATTATACTTATAACTCAAACTGATTTTTACACGCGCATTGCACGACTGATTTAATGTCCAATCACCAATGCTTGTATTTAAATAAGTTGACGGTAAATAAGTTACCGGAGAATATAAATCAATAAGTGATAAGTTGTAATTGTATTGCCAAAGTAGTTTTCAGTACAGAAATCAGCGTGTGTCCCCCTTTGCAGTGACATGAGCTTATCCTTTATACTATAAATATGTAATGGTTACAATAATTGCGCAACGACATCCTACTAAGTGCAACGGCTGACTCCTTAATAACTGTTGTGCGCTCCCCTCCATAATTGTGCTAGCCCCTCATAACTCCTCTGCGGTGCTTCTAATAACTGCTCTCTACTAGGCCGTTACAATGACTGTGTTAATTTCTTTGACTTCTCCAGTTAGACCGGCCCAATAGCATCGGGTCAAGGGTCTAGTGTCCTGTCCAATTACTTTGTCATAAGTAATTCAAAGTATATCAATGCAATATTATATATAAGAAGTTCATTATAGTTGGCATTAAAATTAATGTTTTCACATTTCTAAAAACAATTATCTATATAATTATTGTAGTTGGTATGGTATTAATTAGGTAGTAGATACTACTCCGTACTTTTTGTTAGAATTACTCTATGTTTTGTTAATTCGCCTTTAGATAGGTTTGTCATTGTCTTCGTCTTCATTGCTTGTCCACTTTTTTTTGTTGGTTGTGTCTCATGCGCAACCGCAGCCAAAACCTATATATATATATATATATATATATATATATATTAGGGTCAAATGCGGTTGGTCCGCCCAGGTGCAGTTGTGCAGTTAAATCTGAGCCGTTGATCTTAGGTTCAAATGCGGTTGGTCCGCCCCAGGTGCGGTTGTGCAGTTAAATCTGAGCCATTGATCTTGCTTAAATCAACGTCCAGGATCACCAAAATTTAAAAAAAAAATGCGGTGATAATTGGTTATTTTTGCATCTAGGTCAAATTTAAGGTGTGTGGTTTTTGTGCTTAAGGTGTGTGAGTTTTCAGTTTTGTGCTTAAGGTGCGCGTGTTGTGTGCTTAATGTGAGTATTTATTGAAACTTAAGGTGCGTGATTTTTGTGCTTAAGGTGTGTGGTTTTGTGTTTAAGGTGCGTGAGTTTTGTGCTTAATGTGAGCAATTGTTGAAACTTAAGGTACGTTTTTTTCCTTCTTGAGGTGCATGATTTGTATGCTTCAGGTGCGTCAGTTGTGTGAAACTTAAGGTGAGCCATTTTAAAACCTTAGGTGCGTGGTTTGTGTTCTTAAGGTGCTTTGTTGTGTGTTTAATTAGGTGCGTGATTTGTGTTTTTAAGGTGTGTGGTTTGTGTTCTTAATGTGCTTTGTTTGTGTGCTTAAGATGCGTGGTTTGTACGTGTACTTAAGATGCGCCATTTTAATGCTTAAAGTGCGTTAACCGCACGGAACCCTTCTCTATATATATAGTATAGAATATTTAAGTGCATAAACTTGAGAAAAGAGTTCAAAAAGATGTTTTATTCCACCAAAAGTTTGTCTTCATTTTTGTTGTAACTTCATGCTACATCAAATATCACATTGACATCTTCAATGGGTCTTTGCACCGGTGGGCAGTACGACGTTGTGTCCAGCATGTTGTGTGCACACTATTCGTCACTTTCCTTTTCCTAACTGTACAGCCCTTTTAAACAAACAAAAAAAAAAAAAAACAAAACAAAAAAAAAAACAAAAAAACAAAAATGTTTGTGTGTGTTACGTGTGTGTATATACATACACTATGTGATGATCTGAAAAGAAATATTCTTCACCATTATAAATTTACTTACAATAACTCAATAAGTACATTATTCTAACTCATAAAATACATTATCTTACTTCAGAAGTTTCATTATTTTAACACATAAAATACGTTATACACTATTCTAACTCATAAAATACGTTATTCTAACACATAAAATACATTATTCTAACTCATAAAATGCATTATCTTACTCCAAAAAATTCATTATTCTAACACATTTAAAGTACATTATTCTAACACAAAGTACATTATCTTACTCCAAAATGTTCATTATTCTAACATGCGTGCAAAGCAATGCATTTTTTTTAACATTAAAACAACAACCGTAATTCATACTGTTGTGTGAACCATGTTCCACGCACAATAATTTGCCCAACATTATAGGATGTATGTATCACTACATGTCAATTGGTCCATGACATGTGGAGTAATATAGTAACATTATATTATTAGATATTTAATATCCATATATATGTTGCATTATATATAGTACTCAATTTAGTAATTTATACACATTTATCTCATCATTATATATATGGGTGATTATATATATCAAAATAGTGATATTCCCAACAACAATTAAAAATCCCCTCCCATCCCCCAAATATAAATTTCTGCATGTCCCTGTCTGTCGTTATCAGGTAGGGGGACCAAAGCACACATCAAATCAAAGCACTTTTTCCCCAATCCAAAATTTCCTCCTTAAACAAACCCACTCCAATTCAAGGAAAACACATGTTTCAGCTTAATACAAAGAATCCAAGTCCAAGCAGTTGGAGTAACAATAGTTGCTCATTTTTGTGTATCCTTCCCTTTCTATATTCATCACGAAAAAATCTATCCAGTTACATTGTCTTTTATGACACGATTTACCTCTTTTGTGACTTACAGACGATTATATAAGAGTAAAATTTATTCCGTATATACATTCATGGAATGGGACATGTTTAATTAATTTCCCTCGTTATACAAAAATGAATCTACAAGTAAAAAAGAAAGAAAACAATCAATCAAACAACATGATGTGAATTATCTGTCGTGAGTGTACTTGATAGTGTAAATACTATTGGGTATACGTATATTAATTGGGATAATACAGTTGCATGATCAATTCCGTATTGGTCTATCAATCTAATAATTCAAGGAATTGAGTTCGGGATGATGTGACAGTGAGTGAGAGGGTCCCGAGCATATAATAACAATGTAAAGTGAGTGCAAAAAAGTCCTCTACTCTAGCATTTAATGCGATATTTATAAGAGAGCCGGGAGAACACATGCCGAAAGCTCGACATGTGTGACGCGTGCTACTCATGCACAGAGACAGGTCGGAAGCCTTGCTGATTCCTCCACGTTTACAAAGGTTCCTGATGTCCTCGCTTTTGCCGCCGTCGAATTTCTAAGTGGAGGAGGTCGGCTGTCTCGCCCTGACCTAAGATGACCGGGAAAACCCCAAAGGCCGGGGAACTACTGCGGCTAACTAAGCAGCTTCTGCTCGGCTCTTTGTGATAGGTCTGGTCGGGTTGCCCCAAGGTCAACAAATGCTCGAAAACAATTCCTCTCCACGGCCCGTCCGAATACCGAGCAGGTACACGATACATACAGGTAGTCAAGTCTTGGGTCAGTACTATTAATAATAATCAAGTACTACTTAAATATGATCTCATATTGTCTTTGTAAGAAATTATAGAGTTACATAAAAAGTTTTGAAGTTCACCCAAAAATTGTGGTGTGATACTTAAGCTTGAAAGTTCTCCCTCTTATCGACTAGTCTATTAGAATATAATGCACTCGTTGAGAGACTATGTGATAAAAAAGAAAATAAAAAAAAAATTCATATATCCTTATGCCCATAAAAAAGGGTATGTAGTGAAAGTTACCCGTTGAGAAAAGTTTATATAAGCTATCACAAACATATAACTTTATCAAGGAATAGGTCATGATACGATCCTACACTAATAAAGTACTGATCAGAGTAATAAATTGTACACTTCTAGAGTGATACTCCGTACTTGTAAGATCCTCACATCTATAGACTAGTCTTTTAAGATAAACTATTGGAGTTTTTCGCACTTTTGGTCTCACAACTATAATGACACTATCAGGATTGAACCACAACTTTCAAACCTTGTAATCTCGATCCACAATAATTTTTTGTTTTATTTTTATTTTTTTTGCAAAAGTGGTCCTTCCAGTCCATTTTTCGTCAATTTCTCACCAGAAAAAAAAAATTGACCCTTTCAAGCAGGAATAAAATAGACATTTACATTGCTGACCGCTTTTGACCTGTTATTCTGTTGACCAAAAGTGCGAAAAAATCTCTGGTGTAAGCTCGCTTGTGGTGAAATTACTCTTGGCATTGTCTCGCAATTGTTTTTTTTTTTTGTTAGGGTTTTATGCACTTAGGTGAGAAATTGACAGAAAATGGGCCGGAAGGAACATTTTGCAACAAAAAAATAGTCGTGGCCGAGAATGCAAGGTTTGAAAGTTGTGGATTAATCCTAATAGTGCCACTATAGTCGTGGGACTAAAAGTGCAAAAAACTCTAAACTATTGTCCTGAATTTGAGTATGTCGATTTTATGTATTGCACTAATATTTACATTAGTAAAGTAGTGAGTAATTGTAAAGAATCATAATCAAGTGAGAACTAACCACTACTGGAAATTCTGAAATTTCCGACAACCTGAAAATGATCTTAAATTAAGTTGATACCAAAAAGTTCAAAAAGTGGTCGGAAATAGCAACAAATGTTTTTCCGAATACCAAAAGTGGTCGGAACAAGACTTTCAACTTGATTTAAGATCACTTTCAGGTGGTCGGAAATTTCAGAATTTCCAGTAGTGAACCTTAACCTGCGAACTACTGAAGGGTTGCACTGCAACTACTACGTGATTGCACCGCAACGGCTCCCATGTATGCCTGGAGGGCCTTTGCGGTGCAATTGTATCCGATGCGATGCAATACTTCAGCAGTTCACAAGTTCACACGTTAAGGTCAATTCGTACCTGATTATGGACCAATTGTAAATGCATGCATGCATATACACGTACCACACCACAAACATGAATATTCATGCTAAATATAATAAAAATAGTGCTAATTTGGTGAACAAATCCCTTCCTATCATCTCCCATCTCTCTGTACAGAAGCCCTATCATCAGATCTGAATCAACACTCCATTTAAAAGAAAATAGTTTCACCTACACAAACAAACTACTGCTTCAAGGAGATGAATCAAATAAACTACGTAATTTATGCAATCAACACTCATCCTAGCTAGCTAGGGATACATATATATGTTCTAGAGCCTCGTTGCGCTAAGAGTCGGGCTCAGTAATACATACATTCTGGAAATACAATACTCTCACTCAAGTCATCGAATAATCAAATCTTCCTAGCCCAGACAGACTTCAGATTTAGATACAGGACTACAGGACGAGCACAAGATCAGAGTTAACATTTGGACCGGACCACCAAAAGGATCTACCTGGAGTGAAGTTAGTCATGGCAAGCACGATGGTCGCTCGCTCTTAACGTATATCCAGACACAGGCCGTTCGATCGTGCCATGGTGGATCAGTGCAAACTACTGGCTGCTTGGTGGAACTGGTGACCCTTCATTGCTTCATTATCAGTACCATTGGGCGTTGTTTCCACTCCATTTTTTGTTGTTTGCTCCAAGAGATGAACGAGGGATATAAATATCTCCATCCTTGTTATGTCTCTGTTAGCCTGTAGCATATAATGTAAACATCTCTCGTTAGAAGGTGTGGAAGGAAGCATTATATTTTTTGGTCAGACCACGAGGTGTCCTGAGCAGACCCTAAGTGTAGTAGGCTCCTTTAAGCCCGTACCATACTCAGGCCCCAACTGTAGGAGGCACCTTTAAGCCCGTACCATACTCAGACTAATACTCGTTCGCACTGGGCCGGCCCAATTAAGGGGAGGCACCTTTAAGCCCGTACCATACTCAGACTAATCCTCGTTCGCACTGGGCTGGCCCAATTAAGGGGCAAAGTACTGGCCATATTGGTTTTTCCATACGAAATGAGGTTCGAACTCCCGACCTCTATTAAGGGACAAGAGTGCACGACCACTCACGCCAATCAAGCTGGTTGAAGGAAGCATTATATTGCTACAAGGAAAAACCGACTTTAAAGAAAAGTGTCCGTGGGGTGGAAGTGGAAACGTTTTGGGGCACACCAAAAGGCAATTAGGGCAGCAAATTCAGGTAAAGGAGGTACATACCTCAACAGTAAATCGTGCCCATATTTTCTCATTCTTCGTTTCCATGACCCCCTTCAATATAGTCAGTCCTAATCCTCGAATAATGTCAGCAATTTCCAGGAAGAAGCCACGTTGTTCACAAAGCATCTGTGGCAGACCAAAAGACACAAACTAAGCATCTTATCGTGTTCAGATTTATGTCATCTAATCTAAGGAAGAACAATGCACACAAACCTCCACAAGCATCTGACGAGGCTGATTTAGATCCTCGACGATGATAGGGCAAACCATAGACTCCGATCCAACTTCGTATGCCCATGTTGCTCCCCCTTCAAAATTATCCTTAAGACGTAACCCTCCTTCCTTGCCAATAATCTACAGCTCCACAAAATAAGACGTGATTAAAAAAAAACAATCTAGAATATACTTTTACAGAGAATTGAAACATGTGCTCCATCTCAACTAAAAGGCTAAGCTGATAGTTAGATTGCACATTAATGGTTATATGCTCAACACAGAGAACTTGAAGCATCAGATTTTCTAAAAGGCAAAGGATTATTATGGCACCTTTGACTCTCCGGTCTGTTTTAGTTTGTCTGCGTGTTTTGTTACGCTCTGCAAGAAAAGCATGTGCTTGATAGTGCGTTCCAAGAGAGCATCGATGCTACACTGTTAACCACATAAGCAATGAGAGGAAAAAAAAATGTGAGTACGAGAAATATTGTAGAAAACGGGAACAGATAGGGAAAGAATTGAACAGGATGCATCTCACCTTGGCCCCATTAGGCACAATTTCCCGCAATTCTTTCACACGATCTTGAATCATTTGGCGATCTTTTGGCCTAGGCCTAGGGTTCTCCCCTGGTTTAAGCCTCTTACGACTTGGTTTGCTTGTTTCATCGGGCTTTTTGGAACTTGCAGTCGAAACACTAGTAGTCTTCTTCATGTCATGCCCCCCCTGTTCGATCCATGAACTTACTTGTGACCCATACATCGAACTAGTTTGAGGATAGGTTGCCGGAGTTTCCTTGGTGGAATCAAACGAACAAGACGTCAAGACCCTCGTGTTTGCCCGAGACTTAGGACAACCAAATAACTCTCCCGGCATTTGAGTAGACGCCCCAACCCGGCCATAGGAGCATGATGCATTAGGGCCCGATGAGCTGCTCATATTTGTCAATGTGGTACGGCACGAGACATTATCGTCCACGCTCTGCTTGGCAGAAGGGGTCGACGCTGCAAAGTCTAAAAGATGGTCGAAAGAAGTCACTGCTAATGTACCCGAGTCGGACTTCCCTTGATTGACAGTAGAAGAGGCGTCCTGACTTATCAGAGATGTAGACGGATTATGACCCGTCATATCCTTTGCGTTTGCGAAATTGTTCCAGCTTCCATTTAGTAGTTTATTCTTGAAATCAGCGCCCAGAATATCGAACAAGTCATCCCCCGATTGGACACATGGATCTTCACAATTACTGTCCAGCATTGAACTCTGCAACCCGTATTCATGTTTTGCATCGTAACTAAAATCAGGAACGTGCTCGCTTAAACTCTGATTCTCGTTATTTTGCGTCAGCACAATCCCGAGTGCTTGGAACAAATCATTTTCTACCGTTCCCATATTATCTGCAGAATAATTTGTAGGCAAATGGTTCACATTACCAGATGAAGATGCCTCGAAAAACTCAGAACTTTGAAGCCCACTTGCACCAGAATGTGGGAAAGAAAGATTCTTCCTTGGAGATCGGTTTGCATCCAAAAATGAATCTATATCGGGAATTGATTCCAGATGTGTTTCTGCTCCAACAGATTGAAGCCCAGAAATTTCAAGACAATTGGGAATCAGCCCGGCATCTGTTCTTGGCTTTGGCTGTGATATTTTATAGCCGTTGGGCAAAGAGTTAGTTTTTGTATGACAAGCAGCAGACATAATCGAGGACTGTTGATTTGAAGGAGGCCAAGGAATGTAAGTCGAGGACTGTTGATTTCGCCACATATTAGGATTTGAAGGAATCACTTCAGCTTTTATCTCTTCTTTTCTGAGACGATTTCTCGGAGAAATGTTCGATTTCATTAGTGGAACGACAACATTTCCTTGGCGGTGATTATCATGGTACTCAACAACGCTTTGGGAAATCGAGGAACTTTGAAATGTTGTGTTTTGAACGGGCTCTTTCATTGCGTTTTCATCTGATAGCAAGACACCGGGAACACATCCTAGTTGACAAATCAACGTTTTCACATCATTCACAACACCCACATTCTCCGTTATCTGAACCACCAAATATTACATCAGAATCAAGATTCGAATGTCAAAATTTAAGCAACACTTCAGCTTAATACTCATTCAAGAAATACCCAAGAAAGAACTTACCAATTTGTACGACCCAAGTTGAACAACACCGTGAGGAAGAACAGGAATAACTGCAACTGTCTGCATACAATAAAGACGAGAACTTTAACGATGCTACAGAGAAGAATACATACAACAAAATGAGGTCGGAAATAGTATACCTGCATGCCAGCCGAAAATTGTTGAGACAGCTCTTTCAGAACCTAAGAGACACAGACAACCCAGATAAATTGTTAGCCGATGAAAAGCACCGACACCCGAATAAAACTCCAACACTTAAAGTGACACTAATTATAATTACTAATCCAGCAAGTACACACCTCTATTGGGTGCGTTTCTCGACAATACCCCTCTGACAAAATCCATTGATGGTTACCAGTAACAGCAGCTCGTCCAACTAGTCTGAGGACCAAAAACGAAGACATTTTCAAGGCAACTCTTTCTGGTTAGCGTTTTAAGACAGCAAAATAATGTCTTTAGTCTAGACGTGATATAAAGATACACTCTTTCTTAGTTCTTACCCTTCTCCTACAACGTTGAACTGATTTTCTATCATCATCTTGTTCACAAGCAACTGCACCCTCTCCCCTGTATGCAAAAGCTGAGAATTACAAGCGCTCCAATTTTGAAAAGCCAGTTCTGGGTTCTGAGACCCAGGAATCCCGTGGATACCGGAGTAGAGTACAGGTTCATAATAACATTCTTCCCAAATCAAAAGCCTACAAATCAAAAACAGAAAAAATTAACATACTTATCCATTGAAGCATGAAAAGTTACTCGATAGGGATACTGCTAAAACAGGAATAACAATCAATACCAAATGCAATTAACCAAAGTCGTATATCAATGAATTGCTGTAGTTAAAACTAAGAACAAGATATAAGCACTTTGTCTGAAAAGAGAATAAGAGCTTATAGAATGAAACAAGAATGGCAGACTCAGTAATAAGTATGTTCATGTAAAGGAAATCACAATAAAGGGGTTCATGAGATTAAAACAAATCTACCTCCCACTATGATTCTCTAAGATGAACAGACTGGACAAACCACAAAATTCCAAAAGTAGAAAATGAAAGCTATCTGATTACTGCTAAAGGAAATAAAAAACAATATCCCTAAAATCTATAACAAGACAAATGATATCTTAATCAAGAAAATCATCCACAGCTCTCAATTCATTGATCAATTAATCTTTTAAAAAAAAAAATTAGTACAAATTAAGACTGGTTTTATTCTGGTCAAACAGGGAGACAAGAGTAGATAGCTACTGAACACAATATAATCAGTGAAACTTATTTTTGGGTTTTGCAGAGCTGAACAGCAGAAAAAGATTAGCAGCCTTTACTTTTTCCTTTTTTTTTTTTGTTTTTTCTCTTTCAATTGCCTTCCATTTTCACAACAGTAATCAGGACACAGTCATTAAAACACGAAAGCAAAAGGAGATAAAGCAGAAAAGCCTAAAAGGGGAAAAGAACGTTTCAAGCAAAGCAAATAAGTGCAAGCTTCTCACATAATTCTCCATTTTGTGAGAAAATCACACACACACAAAAAAGGAATAAACCCCAAATCAAGACAGAGAATACAGTTTCAGTATAAACAGCAAGACAGAAGATTAAACAAAAAAATAACAAGAAAGAAAGAAAGAAATGAGAAATGAAGAAAACTGACTTGGGGTTATGGCAGCCGATCTTCCAGAAAATAGCATAAGACCATCGATTGACTCCACACAGAGTCTTCAAAGCTTCCTTCAGCAAGTACCCCATAGCGAATTACAGTCTATGAATTTATTTGAAGAACAAAACTTTCTCTTTTTTTATTGCGGAGATAAATAGAAAAGAAAAACTGAATAGTTGTCAGCGCCGGCGAAGAATCATTGCTCTCCTGGTTTCCGGCAAGTGCAGTTCAAATGGCCTAACTTCCTCTACAAGACCCGCGCCCCGCCTGTTTGGTTCTCAACCCACCGCTCCTTTTCCTCTCCGGATCCAAATTCCCTACAATCATGCGCTTGAAACCCATTCTAGAGAGGGAAAGAAGAGAGGAAGTAAGCTCCCAAAGGAGAGAGAGAGAGAGAGAGAAAGGAAGAGCTTTAGAGCTTCTTTTTTGAAACTCCGACGACCCTTTCCGGGAAACCTACACTATGCCACAAGCCTTGAGCTCACAGCTAACAATAAGCACAATTTTCTCCATTTCAAGAAGCAAAGAAAAGTGGGTATATACCAGTGTATCTGTATCAAGATTCAAAGAATTGGAGAAAAAGACGAGAGCTTTAGAATGGGAGCAAAGAATCTCAGGGTATATCTCAAGTGTGATGGTTTTTTGCTGAGAACTTAACGGAGATAGGATTCACTTTTTGCTTTGTTGAGGAGGAGAAGATGAAAGCGTTTGTGGAGTGTGCCCGTGCTATAATGCGCCAATATTAATCAAAGAAGAGACTCGCAGAGAAAATGGGCTGAGAGTTTGGGAAGAATTGCGGTTTTGCCACTATGGAAATTGTTTTGTCGGCTTTTGCGGTCTTTTTCTACAACTTCAGGAGTTCATGCCTTGGAACTGCACAAGAATCTTAGAATTTACACCTTTTTGGTCCTTCAAAATTCCAAAAATAATAATTTAATTTTTAAAAAAAAAAATTACTCCGTACTAAATATACTTTTATTTTTGTCACGTAATCTGCATTGATCAGATGAAAAATACAAAACGAGAGAGAAAAACATGATACTCGATGAAAACACATATAATACAACCCTAATAAAATTCGACAATGTGGAAAAGAAATGGTGTCTATTTTTATAATTAAGAAAAACGAATCATCACAATAATGTAGTGTGTTTTGTAAAATTATATCTTATGCTTTCTAAAAGATACATAGAAAGAAAGTACAACTTATAAATAGGACGTCACAAATTCGAACTTCAGTGGAAACATTGACTCTTTATACTTCAATAGATTGAGACATTAAAATATGTATGCACAAATACTACATAGTCAGTAGTATTAAGAAAAAGTACAATTTACAAAGTATAAGATATAACTTTGTAATTTTAATAAAATACGCCGCTCAACTACAAGGTCTTTGGTAATATCAGTATAATATATACCAGAGTAATAAGTAAAATATATGGATTGATATAAAATATATATAGGAGATAGTGTAGTTGTGAAGCAATGAGCTTTTGATGTGGGTGGATATATAAAAATGGGACCTCTAGGGTTTGTATAGTATATAGTCTCTCATTTTCCACCCTTCTTTTTTGAAGGGAAGGTCGGAGGGAGGGGTTACTCAAGACAGTGTAGTCAGGATTGGTTGCCGCCGATAGTGGAGGTCGCTTTCCTTCTTCATCTCTCATTATTTGCCCCTCTACTTTTACCATAATTATACATTGCCCACTGCTCCTTCCACTACTCTCATCAATATAATTTTGTTGTCGTTCGGTGAGGTAAATCGCGAGTCATCATTCAATTAGTTCTTAGTTTTCATCTGTCTATACATTCTGTGCACAATGAGTCTTCATCATATCTGATCAATTTAATATGTGAGAATCGGACCTCCACTCTGCTGCTGGAGCAGAATTTCGAGAGTGACCCTTGAACCATTGAGTTAAACTCTGCGGCATCATCAGTATAATTCATCTGCCTTGGGATGTATCTCAATTGATCAACTAACATAAAATAAGTTTATAAGTCTTGTTTTGCTAATAGTCATATAGTGTATTGTTCAAATTTTATCAAGGACAAAAAAATATATAAATTTGATATAATGTTATGGCCTATGAGGATTAATTAGTCATATCATATAATTTACATCCACCAATTTTCATGACTGAAGTGGTGGGAGGCCCTTAATTAGCTTCCGTATTTGAAACCCCACCTTAATTATTAGCATATAATATTTTTCTCATCAAATCTTACATTAAATCATTGTAATGAGCATTTATTAGTTATATTATTACTCAATCTGTCTAAACAATATCGTCTCATTTTTTTAGTACTACTGACTCTGTTACAATACAATATCTGTTTATAACTACTTTCTCAACCTACTGAAGCACAAAGTCAATATCGCATTCACTGAGACTCAAACTCACAACCGCCCATATAGAAGAGCAACTTGGTCCATTGACCACAAGGTCCTAGACCCCGTCATAGAGCCACTACAGAGGTAAATCACGAATTGCACAATCAGTCCACCCATCATACCCTAGTCTTCAATCTTCATGCGTGCACACGCAATCAAACCCACACCTTCCATCATCCCCAGTCTTTTTCCCATTCATGTTTTCAATGGAATTCGAACACTCACAGTATTACCTTCAATTGTGACATCAAGTAGGACAACGAACCTTTACACTAAGTCCTAAGGGTTACAATGATGGATTATTTTCTATACATTTAAAAGTGTGGGTAAAAAAAGTTGTCGTCCGAGTTAAAGATCATTCATGCTATTGATTTGGTTCGAAAATGTTTGTTTTAATTGTGGATGTTATTGTACGCCTCAATTAAATTTCGTTGGCAAATTTTTTCTTTTATTTTATTTTATAGTATACATTTAATAAAGATGAGAACGAGTGAAAATTTTCAAACTAGCCTACATTTAAAACTTAAACTTGTATGTAATAATTTACAATCAAATTATACTCTAAGTTCAAGATATCGGAGATGAGAACTGTTTTTTTTTTTTTTTTTTGAAAAGTACATACTAATTATGTTACAATATACTCCGTAGTATTTGTCTATACATATTTTATTAATCTACGACTTTCTATTTGAAAGAACCATAGTAATATCGCTCCATCACAAAAACTTTGACACAGAGAAATGAGAGCTTAATTACTTATTAAAATGTTGGTTTGGTGGATTTGAAAGTGTTTATATTGATTTAATAAATAAATAATTGAGGCATTGACCAGAATAAGCGTGCTTGTTCAACAATGATAATATACTATGTCGTAGGTAGGAAAAGTTAATAGTTTTATACGTATTTTAAATATGATTATGTATGCAGCAGTTTGTATTGTTTTTTCTCACTCTTACGTATATATACTCCGTATTTTCTCACCAAATACTCCGTAATATATAGTTACCTAACCACCAACATGTATAGTGGAAACAATCTACTTGCTGATACTTTTTATTTATTTATTTTTTATTTTTATAATTCTACCTATTTGGACTTTAGTTTGATCATATTTGGTAGTTCACTAGTTGCATTCCAACATGCATGCACAACATATTCTATTTTTAGATAGATTTGACTAATTTTAACAATTTAGTTAAATCAAATCTTGTAAGTAGGCATCGGTAAACAACGAATTAACTTACAGGTTGTTTGGTGGTAAAGAATGTGATGGATTTAATTAATCTAGGTAGATCGAATCAATAAACTCAATAAATAATGTAAATAGGAAATGAATATAGATAGATAGGTAAAATGATGTCGTAAGGTCACGAGACCGTATATTGTATTAAATGACGACAAGCTATTACAACGATTGATTAGGACAACAGTGATGAAGATGAGATGTTGTAATAATTGTACAATGCATATTTATACAAAGGAAATCACAACCACTTAGGCTAAACTCGTGGTGGGTCACGAGACTAAATCAAGCTAAGGTTCACATGGTGGGTCACGATACTGAGTCAAGGCCCACCATTTCGGGCCTGGAGGCAGGCTCCGAGCCCTGGATCTTTCTTGGGCCACTCAAATTATCTTCTTGGGATGCTCGAATTATACACTCTTAGACCCCGGGTCCCTATTATTTTGGGTCATTTCTAATATCTCCATCATAATGAATTAAGGAATAAAAGAATTATAATTTTGTGGGTTTAAGCATTATATATAATACTTTATGACATAAATGTAATACACATTTTGCAAGGAATAAAATAATAACATAACAAATTGCATATATCATCAATACTTTAAGCCATATATAATATTATAGTATAAATGTAGTACTTTATATGAAAACTATAATAAACAATTTATAGGAAATAAAATATCATTGAATAGTAGAATTTCATATATAATCAATACTTTAATTAAGCTTTATATAATACTTTGTAGCATAAATGTAATATTTTATAACAAAATTCTAATAAACAGTTTGCATGAAATAATATTACCAAGCTCATAAGTCATAAGACCTAAATTCTCATGACCTAACCCGTCTCAAAAATTGAGACTCGTGAGCCAATCTTACAGAAAAATTTGCTTTTATTTTGTACCTAATATGAACTTTTAATGGAATATAATAATTATTATTTTACAAACTAAATTATTTTAAAATCTATATCTAAAAAATTATTTTAACTATTAACCCACATTTTTGCGCTAGAAGCAAGTACTATATCAACTCCATTGTGTGCAGAAGTATACAATTTGAAATTAGATGGACTCAATTTACCTTCTCATAGGCATAAGATAGTCTAGAATATAGGGATTATAGTCTGGTAAAATCAAGAAACTTGAATTACAAAAGTAACGTAAATGAATTAAAATATTGATCATATCTTTATAAGTCATTTTACATATTTTTTATCAATAATAATAAACAACTAACTACCGAACATCATTTATAAATAATTAATACTATCCACTTGTTAAATTTTATAACACAACATGCTATTAGCTATTAACTATCATAATCCGCTACCTCCATTGTATAGTAATAAGCCTATTGCAACTTTTTCTTGTGTAATTTAAGAATAATGTGTTATCAATTACTCGTGATTAAATAGAATATTAGGGTTATAATTATAATTTTGAAAAAGTTTCCCAAACAAGCTACATTGTTGATGTACTTAAAAACATTCTGAATTACCCAAAGGGCAACATTGCCCTAATTGAAGATGACCAAATCTGATAACATGAAACCCTTTGCTATGCAAAGAATAGAAAGAAATAATTTTAGTTTCACTGTCAAAATAATTTGATGATTTTGTTTTATTGTTTCCCAACCCAAATGATATCCATCACATTCAGTAATAATATACATGCCTATTGGTGGTCCAAAAGGTTTTTACAGTTACCAACAAAATTGGAGACTTCACAACTTCACTTGGTTGGCCCAGATTCCAAATAATTACACCAAAATTGTTTGCTTTTTTTTTGATATATTATTTGAATACTTTCTAGGGAGAGGCAAAATTGCTTTGAGCCCCCAAACCCTTAAACTGGTTGGGGTAAATGGCTGGTTCCCCAAGCTGGCTATGAGGGTATTGTAGGAAGTTGAGTACCTTTATTCCCATTGGTTCTGTGGTCCATTGTCCCAATTCTCTTTTGAGGCATTATGATTTCCCATTTCTAGGCTCTTTCATTATGCCTTTTGGGTAACATTCTGCTATTTTCATGGTTTTTATTTTTTTCATACCCTAGCTATGCCCTAAACTTTAGTGT